GAAGAAACCGCCCGGAAGGGCCCGGGCGGAAGGCGCCGGGGGACGCGGCCCGGCCCGGGTTCCCGTCCCTGCCCCCTCCGGCTCCCAACAGGTAGCTCCCACGCGGGCCGCGCGCCCTCGCTCTGCCGCCCTCGCTCTCGGATCGCTCGCTCCGTCCCGGTTACCTGGGCGGGCTCCAGGACGGTACCGCACGGGAGGGCTCCTTGTGCGCTGCGCCGCGGGAGTAAATGGCATTAAAGAAAAAGGGAGAGACACAAATAAAAAAATTAAAAGGAAGGGGAGTCGGTGCTAGGTCAACTGGCACAGCCCCGGGAGCGAGGGAGCAGAACCCCCCAGCGCCGCGGCCGGCGCAGCCCGTTAACTCAAGTCTGCGGGGGTGTCCCGCCCGGCCGCGGGGAGCGCTGCGCGGCAGAAGTTTGCTGCCGGGGTGCCGGGAGGTGCGCGCGGAGCGGGGTGACTAGGGGCTTCCCCCCTGAAACAAGTGAAGGCGATGGTTAGTGCTGTCAATCTTGGCAATCAGTGTGAGCGGCCATGTCGTAAGTATTCAAAGCATTTCCCGTCGTGCAACATCAGAAAGTGAGTGGCCAGGGCATTGATCTGAGCGAGGGAGAGGAGGCAGGGCTCCCCTCCCAGACAACACAGGCAAGATGAGACAAGAGGCGAGGGAGGCAGCGAGCCAGGCGGGGAGGCTGGGAGGGAGGGGCAGGGCCGGGGAAAGAAGAAGGGGGGGAGAGCGGGAGGCGAAGGCAAGCGAGAGCCGCAAAGACAGAGCAGGGCAGAGACCGGCGAGACCGGAGGCTGGAACTGGAGAAGGCGCCTGAACGGCAGAGAGAAGCGACTGCCGGGAGAGACCTGGAAGGGGACAAAGAAGAGGGAGAGTCGGGGTCGGAGGAGAGTTGGGGCAAGTACCAGGTGAGGGAGAGGCCGGCTGAGGAGAAAGGACCAAGAGAGCTCCTGGGGCTGGGGCTGCTAGGAGGAGGAGTCAGGAGAAAGGCCAACTGAAGCGGGGAAGGTAGGCAACGGAGGAGAAGAAAGGCGCACGCTGGAGAGAGCGAGGAAGTCGAGCGGTGGAGGGAATGTAGGAGTGGCGGCGTGTGCGTTGGAAAAGTTAGGTGACAGAAGGCACTAGCTGGATGCTAGGACATGGCAAGATACAGAACTGAACCACCAAAGTGAGTCATGGGAGAAACAGAGAAGAGGGCTGGGGTTGAAGCTAACCAGGAAGAAGAAAAGAGGGGTGTGTGATAAGAAGGGTGGAGAAAAGAAAGACACGAAGGAAGCAGAGATCATGAAAACGCCAGTCAGTAGGATCTCAGTAAATGGGGAGAGAAACATTTATTATTTTAATGGAGGAGGCACTGAAGAAAAAAAGAAAAGGCCATTGACATTAGAGATTCCTGACTTAGGGAGGTGGCAGTGTTCTGGAAGCCATATGGACTATGGTGTTTATTGGTTCAAGTTACAATAAAGAATAAGACATGTACAAACCACCAAAGGAAAACTGTTACACCTTTACAACAATAAATAAAATAGTTCCACCTTTATTGTATGGATAAGTCTTTGTTGTATGAGATAGAGTTGGTGGGATATGTACAGGAAAAGACTTGGAGAAACAATTTCAAGAGGGTGGCTTGGAAGTTGTAGAAGATGAAGAGTTTCAGTCACCCAGAGTAACACATAAAAATGCATGTCAAATGTACCAAATTATGTTAACAAAAGACTCCCCAGAAAACTTACTTAAATTAAAGATTCCCTTGGATTCATGTGTAAGATGGATTAAACATTTGGAAGGTACAGAATGGCCTAAAGAAGCAGAGACCTGAAACTTTATCTTAGGGCAAAAAAAAGCTGGAGGACTAAGACAGGCAGAAGTAATCGTGGTCTCAGGTAGTAGAGAAGCAGAGTATGAGACCCAGATGAGAAAACTAGCCCTGGCAGCAGCACAAGGCTAACTAGGAGCCATGTGCTCAAGGTGAAGTTGGCCTGCCTTAAGCCAGGCCCCAGGAAATAGACAGGATTCAACAAACTGAGATCCATGGAGAGTCAAAACTGTGTCAAAGTAAAAGCTGAGAGAGAGGTTCTGGGACAGCAGCATACTCTGCAGATATCTGTGAAGGAGAGATCCTTGCTGTGAGAAACTGATAGGAGATAGTCACTTTGAGATACCTCATCAAAGAGACTTTGTGAAAATATGTATGGTCCAGGAGAGAGGAGTCAGCAATTATGGTGGGAAAAATCAGAAAATTGCACAGCAATCTAAAGTGCCAACGTGAGATAGACCTCCCACAGACTAAGTGATCAAAAATAAAGGGGGAAAAGTCTCATCTTTGTTACATTAAGTTTGAAGAAAATGGAAAAAGTAAGCAAGCACGGAAGATGAAACAACTGAGATGTCAATCCTATATTACCTTTTTAAAGTACTCCATGCTTGCTTCCATATCAACTCCAGACAAGAGAAAGGAAAAGACAAATAAGAGTGGGGATGAGCACCTAGGATCATGGGACAGAAGGCACAGTCAGGTGCTTCTGGCCCAGTAGAAAATATAGTCTTTCAGGACTGGGATCTTGGGGACTATGAGTTAAACTGATTTGACGGTTGGTAGGAGAGTGGTCAACAAGAAAACTGTGTCCCCATCGCCCACAGTGACTTCCAGGCCTGAGAATTCTGCAGCCAGGCACCAGGACCCACCGGCAGATGAGGTGTACTCCCAGGCACCTTGCAGGCTAGCCCTTGAACAAGAGCTGCCAGAATCGCCCAGCGACCCCTTGACCTCCAAGGCCCAAGGGGCAAGCCCAGACTGCTATTTCTAGTACAGACAGGGGTCAAATCTCTTCCGTGTGTGCATGAATGTGGTCCAGCCCATTCCAGAGCCTCGCCCTCTTCAGCCATCTGCCCTGGAACTCAATCACAGGGGCCAAAAAACCTCTCCAGAGCCTAAAGAGTCATAATCGAATGGCCTGTCCTAAACGCCTGCAGAGAGGAAAGGGGGTAGGTTAGGTCCCAAAGCTGGAATCCTCAGGGAAGATTCACCGAGGGGTGAACCGTCAGGGACCGAAACGCTGGGGCGCAACTGGCTTCCTCCAATTTGCTGCGACAAGTTTGGCTTTCCAAATACCAGCGCGTCCGGCTCTTTAAATCACAGGCACTCGGGGCTCTGGGGGGCAAGACTGACCTCGCCGACCAGATGTAGGCCGCTGGCGGGAGGCAAGAAGAAAAAGAAGACGACATTATCAAGATCTCTGGTGTCCAAGGCCCTAGTACCCAGCCGCGACGGACCTTCCGAGAAGGAGCGGCTGGAGCCTTCTTTAGGTTTTATCTAATGAGCTGATTGATACCAATGTAGATTGATAAGGCGGAACCCCGATCGGGTCACAACATTGATCCCTAAAGGAAGGAAACTAAAGTTTGGGGTCTCAGTGCTGTACCTCAGGCTGCGCATGGGATGACACGTGGCCCTGGGGGCGGGGGGGGGCGAGCCAAGGGTTTCCTCTCGAGCCTCGGGCGCGGGCTGCACACGCAGTGGGCGAGACGGAGAGCGCGGCAGCGGCTGAAGTGCCTGCTGCCACCTGGTCGGGACCGGCCTGCGGGCTCGAAGAAGTCCCCGGAGGACCAGAGGGCACCCAGGCACCGCGGCCAGAGCCAGGCTCGTGCAGGCTCACTTCCCCTGCGGGTCGGAGCTTCGCGCGGCGCAAGAACCCCGGTCGCTGAGCTGGGGGGGACTAGGAAGGGAAGGAAGGGCGAGCGGGTGGGGCAGACTTACCTGCTCGCAGCGGTCGCTGCCTCGGCGCTGTCCGAAAGTCCCTGCGCACCGCAGCCACCATAGGCAACTTGGCTTTGCTAACTTTGGCCTCGCACCTCCAGAGAAGAGGCGCGAACTCGCAAAAGGAAAGGCGCGCACGGTTCCTGGAGAGAGGTCCCCCTGAACTTGGGAAGGGCAACGCAGTTAATTCTGCTTGAAACGTTCATATTTAAAACACCCACGCAAAAAAATCATAACGGCTATTAAAACCTCGAATTCCCGCTTTGAAAGACTCCTTACACCAGCCGGGCGGAGATTCAGACCTACAGGACTTCATCTAAAGGTTGCAAACTTCTTTCAGGAAGGGCTTCATAGCTACTGTATAAATAGGACAAGCATATATGTCTATCGCTCCCAAACACCGATAAGAACTTTTACTGAAACGAAGAATAAGTTAAAAAGTGTAAAAGCCAAAGGGGAAGAAGTTGGAAACTTTAATTACCGCACGGAGAAAAGTTTTAGCAGTGGGTTTCCTTAAATGGGGATAACAAACATACCAACGCTCCAGCTGCCCAGCGCACTTCATTTAAGCTTGGAGTAACCAAATAACCTGAACTCCCAAATAACAGCGCCCTTGGGACTCTGCCTCAAAGAGGTCGGAACTGTGTTTCAAGCAACAAAAGGAAAAAGCAAACTGAATACTGCTCTGCGTTCTCTGAGACGTCATTTTGTACAAGGACGAGGCATTGTCCCTCGGTTTTAAATGGATGGAGAATAACATTAAATTTCTTCTGGATCTGCACATCATCCTGTTAGGAAGATCACAGCAGTAGCGACAGTAGCGGCAGAGCACCGCCACAAAGGAGGTGGGGGAAAGTGGTAGAAATGCATGAACTTTTTTTCAAAGAAAAATAAAGATAGATCAAAATTAAGTTTTACAGACATGCCCTTCCTAGCTTAGGAAAGTTAATTTTTAAATGTGCTTCTGCTGTCTAAGGTGCAAAGCCGAGGCTGGGGGAGTGCGTGGCTGGAATCCGCATGCTGATAAGAGAAGCTGCTGTACTTACAGTGACAGAGGGCAGGCTGCGGGAGGAACGCTGTTTGTGTTAGCCTGCGAGTTACCCGGGGCTGCAGTGAGAGCAGAAAGGAGGAGTGGGAGTGCCAGTCTGCGTACACCTTCACCGCGTCTCATTACATCTGCCAGCCTCTCTCTCCCTCTCTCTTTCATTTCCACATTCCCTTTGTTCCTGAAAAAAAAATCTACACGTCACATCAGAGTCCCCAGATGCAGTCTACACCAAAGAAAAAAAATGAATAATTCAATCAAACTGTGCATAGTCTCTAAGGCAATAAATCTATTGCACTTAAAGAAACGAAGGGTAATTACCACCATGGAATTAGAATAAGGCCAAAGACCAGAGATGTCGCTGAGTCTCTGGATAAACTCCCCGGTAAATAAAGTTTCATTTATTTAATCCTTTTGACACCTCAAATGAAAAGTCAGAGAAAGATTTTTAACTTATTTTAGGAGGCTATTCACTTCTTTTTAAGCACATGGGGGTGGGGCGGAGGAAAAGGGGAGAGAAAGCCTGGAGTGTACTACTACCTTGCTCAAAACGCTCCCAAAGGCAGCAGCAGAGCGCGGGCACAGACAGAGCTGAGACAATGCGTGTCCGTGGAGCCTGTCCAGGGCCCACTGCCCCCACTCCGCCCTCCTCCATCCCTGCTCATCAGACGCCGATCCCTTCCACTCTCGCCCGCCACTGCAGCTCCGTACGAAGGAGCTGGAATTTGGGGACCTTACCTGCGGCACCAAGACCTAACAGAAATCGCGCTTCCCTGCCACCAACACCCCGTGCCATCCCCACGCACCCTTCCAAAGTCCCGTGGCCATCTACGTCTTCCATCTGCCTAACAGAAACCGTAAACGGGATTTCCCCCCACGATTGAATGGAAGCTCTGTACTGTACCGACTTCTGGATTTGCCCTGGGTTGAGTTTAGGGAATGTCTGGAAAGAAAAAGGGGAGGATAGAAGGAGGGGGGGCAGCTCGAGCCCTTGTCCAAGTTAGTCAGAAGGCGATGTTAGGCAGGAAAGCGCCTACGGGAAAAACAGCTGGGATGCAGACTGGCTGTGGAAATCTCAGTTCTAGGAACCGTGTCCTTTCGTCCCGGAGGTAAGATTGTGTGACTGCCGCACTTTATTCTTTCGCTGTCTTTCTTCCCCGCCCCCAGCTACCCCTGCCACTCGGGTCAGCTGGTATGCACCCTAGAAAAGGGCACGAGCACGGCGAAGGGCTTTATTTTACAGGTCTCTCCACTCATAAATTGTGGGTGTCACTGAAATGAGATTAGCAGTTCTACCGCGGGCGGCAGCGACCGGTCAGACCCTCTGTCCTTCTGCTAGTCGCGCACTGGTCGAGGCATCTCGCGCGACAGAGCGGTTCCGAAGCCCAAGCCCACTGGGGCGCTCGGCCTGCGGGCTCAGGTGATGCGGGGAAGGCTCGCGGCGTCCCAAACGGGTTCGGCCGAAGATTTCCACCCCATCACTGCTCCCTGCCGCCTCCACGCGCGCGCGCGGACACACACACTCGCGCGCGCGCATGTTCTGAAATTCTGGCTGAACTCCTCGTCTAAACAGAAGTCCCTTTAACAGTCAATTCAGCCCGCTCGAGAGCAGCGGGAAAACTAGGCTGTTACGTGGATGGACAGAGCGGGTGCCAACGGTCCGGCTTGGCCGAGCTTTGTTTACGTGCCTAAGTCGCCACCTTGAGGTCGAGCGGAAGACTGCGCCCGGCTCGCGGCTGCGGAGACGAGCCCGGCTGACACCGGCCCCAGCAGCCTTGGCGACCTCCCGGGACCGCTTGAAAGAGAAGCGAAGGGAGGGCGCCCAGCGGGTGGGAGGGCCGAGCAACGCACTGTCTGCCCTCCGGGCCTCGAGCTGGGAGGAGTGAGGACTACAGCTGCCAACTAGCTGAAACCGATAGCCAGGAACAGCGAAGGCGCATTCTCCCAGCAGGGCAGAAAGCTCCTGGCCCAAGAGTCTGCAGCTCCAAGGCAAGGGGTTGCGGCTCCGAAACTTCGAGCACTTACTCCCAGGCAGTGGCGAAGGGTGTGGGCAGCTTCGAAGATGCATAGCATCTACTCCGGTCCTGGTCGAAGACTGAGCTCCCTTTGGCAGTGACCTCGGCTCAGCGCAGTCTGCAGTCCGCGGGGCTCATCCCGCTTGCTCTCCACCTTCGGGACAGGAGACAAAGGGGCCCAGGGACGCGGCCAGGCCCAAGGTCACAAATAGGAGTCTCCGGGACGAGAACTTCTTGCAAGAGAGGGACGCCCGGCGGCCCGGCCGCCTGCTGCGAGGGCTAAAAGCTTCTCAGCTGTATAGTCGCCCATATCTCAGGAAATCAGTCCGAGTGTCAATGGATTCGGTAAAATAATAATGATTGCTATTAATTATATCAACAATTTTCTATGTTCCTACCCCTCTGTTGAAGCCCTTTGCGCGCACCATTCTTGCACTGAGGATACCAGGCTTAAAAACCCCCTTAGCTAAATCCTGAAATAACTTATTGCTGTTGTTCTTTGTTATTCTGGACACTGCCTCCAAGGTTTGGGGGCATCTGCAAGGCCACACCGAAGGTCTCCTTGGTGAGCTGTGCCCTAGGGTGCCTCAGTCATTTCTCTGCTACTTGGGTGCATAGACACTATTTAAATACGCTTTATAAATGAGAAAGAAAAATTGTATTTATTTTAAGAAAAAGGACACTCGGGAACGATTGTGTTTTATATGAGCGCATAAATCAGCCCTGAATGACTTCAACAGTGGCTGTTCAGTATTTTGCTTAGCAATAAATAAATAAACTAAAATTTAAAAATATAACCACAGCAACCAGGTGCTAATGGACAACAGGAGATGTCTTTTCAAAGAAGAGAAGCAACAGGCCCCCAATCCAGACCCCATCCCGTTTCTTGCCACAGTCTAGCAAATTAACATTGGATTGCTCCTCCACTCATGTGGAAAGCTGAGTGTTATTGAATACAGTACTGAATTTTCCCAGGGAATCCCAATTATAGAAACACCTGTGCTAAGTAATGCTATTCTAATCCACTATGAAAACCTTAAGTATGTAATAGCCCTCAAATCATCTCATTTCTTAGTCGCAGTGGGGTGGGCCAACCTCATAGAAGAACATTAGACTTGTACAATGTCCCCAGAGCCTTAACTAAGAGGGGCCTTAGTCTTGCCATACATAATCCTGGCAGTTCATTTTATCTTAAGTGAAAGGAATATCCACATGAAGCTTAACATAACTGGCAGAAAGTAAGCTTGGGTAGAAACATTATTTAAAGAGAAATCCAATGACTACAAAACTAGAACACACATCACATGTGCAGTCAGGAACCAAGTCCATAGTTTTAAAAAAAATTCTAACATAGGAAAAGTTGTCACTCTTCAGTCTGTATACTCCACTTTACTACAAATAGAATATTAATGGCAAAATATAATGAAATGAAACCACCATAAATAATGTGATAGAAACTAGAAAACTGTAAACCTCAACCAATTTCCAAAAAAACCTACATGTCAGCTATATTTTTTAAGTCCTAGACCTAGTATTTTTGAAATGCTATCTGAAAAAATATATATTTGTTAAGGTTATGGTTGTTTCATTGCTTAAGGCAGCCAAAATTAACACCACTGAAACATCCAGATGAAAAGTGAAATTTGTATTAGTCAACCAAATGTTTCTCTTACAATGAAACATAGAATTTTGGAATTTTTTGCCTAACTAAAGTAATATAGATCGTTACACAGGAAAGTATGAATACCACAAAAAACAGAAAGGAAAAATATAAGGATAATTCAACCACAGAAATAAACTTTAGTCTCTAAAAATCAAAATACCCCTGATGATAGCAACCTACTTTTCACCAAGTAATATTGTTAAAGCATTCACAATCCTTCATATGTGCCTTTCTCTGTTTAAAGACATACTTACCTCTTTCCATATCTGAGGTTGGCCATTCCCTAAGATGATCAGCATTTCATCCACTATACATTTTAACCAAACAAGAAGTATCTGATAAATCAGTATAGACCCATTCCAATATCTAATAAAAGACAAGCAAGGTACACAAAAATACTACTGTAAAACTTCTCACTGAAAAATATAAAAGAATAAAACAATAATTTACTACTAATGCTACTAGTCTTTAAAAGTTTGATAATTTACCTCAGCAATTTTATCTTATATATCATCTGTTAACATTGTATTTTAAAAACTAAATTTGACTAAATTCTCTAATTTTAAAAATTGTTAGTTAAAATCTTTCTTCCAAATCCCAGACTGCTACTTTCTACATTTCTAAATACAGGATTTCTGTTGTGTGTGTTTTATAAATGTCACAATTATACTGAAGACTTTTTTTCTTGTTTTCCACATTTTTATTCACACTTAAATATTCACTGAGTGCCTAGTGTGTGCAAAGCAAATAATTAATGATATGTTAACCAAAAAATTATCTTTTGTACTTTAATGATTTCATAAACGTTAACTAAAAGGCTATTACAAACATACTGAAAATTAATTCATATTAAATATGCCAGCAAAAGCATTTTTTTCAATATGTGATAATTCTATGATGATACTTCATTTCATTTGGCATCTACTATTTAAATTACCACAGTTATTTTTATTAACTAACAAATAGTATATATTTCTAGACATAGGTTTTCTGACATCAAATGATGTATCTAAAAAAAAAAAAAACCCTGTACTTACAAGCAGGATCTATAATTATAAACTATTTTCAAATAATATATTTTACTTTTAAATCAGTTCTAAAAGAAACTTCAAGCTGTATTTCAAATCAAGTGGTTAATATAATTCCAATGCAAAAATTATCCTATAACTTGTTGATTTATATCTTTAACATGTATCATAATGGTACATATGAGATAGAAATCTTATCTTCCTAAAGTCAAACAAACAAACGAAAGCAAAAAAAAAAAAAAATACATCGATGTTCTCAAGTATCTGGATGTTTGCTATTATTTCAATAACTCAATAAGTTTTATTGAATTTTTAAGTTTATATCAAGATGTTTTGCAGTCGGTTTGAATATATTATCTTTAAAATGGGGGAGAGAAGACAGCAATATTGAGAAGCTGCAACAATGATCATCTTCATGTTCATTCATGTCTGTTTAAGACAATACTAAATGAGAACTTTGTTTATTCTCACTGAA